CTGCAGGCCTGTGTGGTTTGCCCCCCCCAGCCTCTGCGCCAGTGGGAAGAGGCCGCCGGGAGAAGGGGAGGGATGGCTAACCACAGCTCAGGGAGAGCAAGGAACCTGGCTCCACCTTGTCTCACCCCTGACCGAGGGCATGGTTGATAACCAAGAGGGAACAACCCAAAAGCAGTGACCAGGACACCACGGCAGAGCCCACCCAGGTGCCAAAGCACCCACTCCCCCTCTGTGTGGCTCCACCACCACCTCCCCGGGGAGGACCAGCGGGGTAAAAACAGAGATGAAGAAAAGGGGGCATAGAGGCATTTCAAGGAGGGGGCTCCAAAAGCAAGCAGCAAAATAGAGATAAAAGCTCTGAAATGGCTCCTTTTCAGCGTAAAGGACACAAGCTGGAGAATGCCCAGGCTCTCCTTCGAGCAGGACAGGGAGGGACACAGCACCAGCACAAGGACGGAGCTCATGCTGCCCTAGGTGGGAGCCTGCTGGAGATGGGGACCCGCTGGGACCGTCCTGTGTCGTAGGTGATGGGGCAGATGAGTGGCTTCCCACTGCCCCGGCACCAGTGGCACAGGAGGGCCAGTGTGGGCCAGTGCCAAGCACTGCTGCCAGGAGCCAGGCACGCTCCCGGATTCATCGGCACGTGGTGCCTGCAGGTCATCCTGGCATCCTTCCTGTCCAGCCCACTCCTGTGAAAATCCATCTGTGGGAACAGCAGCGAGGATGCCGAGATGCCTGCCTCCATGGGCACCCCATTCAGGGTCCAGCCTCCAGAGTGGGGAGCCCTGGGGGGACCCTGTTTTGGAGAGGGGCCAGGAGAGCCAGTGTTCCCCCTCAGGGCCCGGGCGCGCAACCCATTCCTCACATCCTGCCCCGTTGGGGAGCACTGACGGCATCCCCTCGGAGGGACGGGACACCTGCCCCGGCCGGGGCCCTGACTCACCCAGCCGCGACCGTGCTATATCAATTAACGCCATGACAGGGAGAAGCCGTGAGCACCCCGGGATGCCGGGGGAGGCAGGATGAGCCCCGGGGGGGGCGAGGGGCCCGGCAGTGGGGCGTGCAGGTCCCTGAGCGGGGCTGGGCACACCAGCTGGGCCAGGCATCAAGGTCAAAGCCAGGAACAAACCAGCTGGCATCAGCGTTCAGCCCCAGTGCCCTGTCAGCCTCTTCCTACTGGCACTGGGGAAGAGTGGGGCTGAGGGAGTGTCTGGGGGGGCAGCAGGACCACCCCAGGACTGGGGCAGGCTCAGCCTGAGCTTCTTCCAGCCAAAGGGGCTCCAGGGATGCTGCTAAGCAGGGCCTGGCCATCGCGAGGGAGGCTCGGGGCATCATGGAGGGGGGCCTTGGCCTTCCCACCAGGCCGATACTCCAAGGTGGCTGGGGCAAGGAGGCTGGGGCAGGGACACAGGGGGATTTAGGGGTGCTGGTGGAGGAT